GGGTTCACGCGCCGCAAGCCCGCCGAAGGACCTGTTTGGCACGTGCCGAAAAAAGAAACGGGAAATCGAACCGAGCTGGTATTCGAACCCACGACTGTGGGAGCGAACGGACCGGGCGAGTTCTCGAAAACAAGGTGAGCCAATCGGGAGCGTTTTTGGCGCGCGAGCGCAATCCCACGTGTCGCAGCGGGCCTAAGCCCAAGGCCGCGTGTGCGAGAGAGAGCGAGCGAGTGTTAGTTTAGTCACATAAGTTCGCGAGCGTTCCCCCCCCTCTCAATCGTCCCGCGCACAGCCTTCTATATTTGCGGCAAGGTCGGCATCACCATGCCAGGCCATGCCAGGCCATGCCATGAGGCCAGGCGACGAGCCCCGCCAATCGGATGATGAGAATTAGCAGACGCGTGTGCTGTCTCTCTCTCTCACTCACAGTGCTCTCGCCTTGACGAAACGAAATCAAGGCAGCAGGCGTGTGTGCGCCTGCAGACTGATTCCGAGCGTCGTCTTCGTCGCTCTGTCTCTCTCGCGCCCATTGGGAACACCCTTAGTGCGAGAGAGACAGAGCGACGAAAACGACTCAGTCTCCTGGCTGCCTGGCTCGCGCCTGCCGTATTTTCCGGTGGCGTCGCCGCGGCGACTCGAAAATTCAGGCAGTGTGTCGTCATGCCAGCAGAAGGTGGAAAAATCTTGGCGCTGTTGCGCAATCACAAAAACACGCGGAAAAACGCGCGGTCGCCTGGTATACAACACAAACAAAAACGTCAAAAACAAAATCGGGACCAGTAAGCTGATTTGTCGAAAATGTTGTTGTTGTTGCTGGAAGTTGTTTTTGTTCTTTCGATATACCGATTCCGCGATTGAATCCTTCCGCCGAGAAGGGCGGCATCTGGTCGCGTGACTCACAAACAGGCCGGCCGATTCCACAGCCCGTTTCGCCGCTCCGTCTCTCTCTCTCTCTCTCTCTCTCTCTCTCTCTCTCTCTCTCTCTCTCTCTCTCTCTCTCGCACCCGTGCGGCGCGCCCCGCGAGTGCGAGAGAGACGGAGCGTCGGCCGCTCTTGGAGTGGTCATCGCTCCGGCCGGGCGACCGGTAGAGCGCCGCGCGTGGCCGCGTGGCCGCGTGGCCGCGCCTGCCGGCTTCTTGGTCACGATCAGGGCCACGCCGCCGCGCCGCCGTCGTCGCGTAGGTGCCGCGTCGCCGCGTCGCCGCGTCCCGGTGCCCGTATCTCTCTCGCACTCGAGGGGCGTCCCGCGGGGGTGCGAGCGAGACGGCGAGCACTGCTCGGAATCTGCCTGCAGGAGGACCAGGAGTCGACGACACCGCGGGGCCCCGCGAGGTCAGGGTGGCCATTACAGTGGAGGTCGCCCACCATCGCCCACGCCCGGCCGGCTCGGCTCCGCCTGGGCGGCCTGGGCGGCCCGCGCGTGGCTCGGCTGCGCTCGGCCTGCGCTGCGTGCTCGGCTCGGCTCCCGGTGATTCACCCTGCACGCCCTGCTCCGGGGGAAGGAGTAGGAGTGCGAAGACTCGGTGCGACGCGGTGCGTGTGACTCTGCAAGTGGATCGCTTTGTGTCCTGGCTCTCTCTCTCTCTCTCGCACTCACGCGGCGTCCCGCACCCCGTGCGAGAGAGACAGAGCGACGGGACGCGTGCCTGGGTCAGCATCGTCCACGCGACCGGCCAGCCGGTCCTTTGTCCGTGACGTCATCCCGAAGGCAGAAAAAACAAACAAACACAACAATAAATGAAGAAGCTATCACCCCGCATCGCCCGCATCGCGCATTCTTTGCCTGCTGAGACGCAATAATTCTCCCCGATGAAAGTCGGGCCGTCCACTGTACGGCCGGTCAGAGGCATAAAGTGCTCAAAACGCGGAAAAAATGCGATAAAAGGAGCGGCCAGTTCCCAGAAGCCGAGCCGATTAATTATCCGCCGTTTGTTCCTTTCTTTTATTTGAAATTCGGGAAGCGTTTTTTTACTGTCGCTCTTTCGGGCCGCGTGCTGCCCCATACTCGCTCTGTCTCTCTCGCTCTCATTGGTGGGTCGTACAGGTGCGAGAGAGACAGAGCGACGAAAACGACTCTCGGGATCGGTCTGCTGCAGTGAGTCGTCGCCTTGTCCCTCCGGCCGCGGCTGTTGACCCGAGGCAGAAATCAACTCGCCACCTTGTTGGGAGAGGCCTTGCTTGCGCTGCTTGCGCACCTCCTGCATCACTCTACGCCACACACACTCTGTCAAAATAAAATACGCCAGCCCTCGCGCCGACGCCGGGTTCGAACCCGCGCCGCGCGCTAGCGTAACCTTGACATAACCGCGCGCGCAACGCCGCGAAGATGCAACCGATGCAACGAGGCGTTTTCTCTCGGAATCGAAAGTGTTTCTCTGCCTCTCTCTCGCTCTCGGAGCGCCACTACTTTGATCCGCGTTTCCGAGCGGCGCTTTCTTCGCCCCGCAGACTGCAGTCACTTCGTCTCTCTCGCACTCACGGGGCGCCGCGGGCAGCGAGAGAGACAGAGTGACGAGCCTCGTCATTGCGAAAACGAAGTGGCCACTGAATTCGCACGACGGACACGACGACGGGGTGCAAGTGCACTGTAGTGCAGGACGGTTCGTGCGAGAGAGAGAGAGAGAGAGAGAGAGAGAGAGAGAGAGAGAGAGAGAGAGAGAGAGAGAGAGAGAGAGAGAGAGAGAGAGAGAGAGGCGCGGCCGGTTTGTTGCGCCGTCGGCCTCTGAGGACACCTTGTGGGTCAAGCGACGAGGCTAGACGGACGCATTGACGAGGTGTCAGTGCACTGCACACACACACACACACACACCTACACACGCGCGCAGCAGGGCAGCGGCGCGGAGTCAACGCACTTTGCCCCTTCCGTTGCGCCTGTCGGCACGGCGGCGCTCACGGTCCGTCTTCCTTCCTGCTGGCCTTGCGCGCCTTGAGTCGGTCTCGCTCGCGAGTCAATGGGGGGCGAGCCCGGCCAAGCCTGGCGAGCGAGACTGCATACAGCTCGCCAAGCCGCCGCACCACCGCCCCCCTTGCTTCCGGCCCGGGTTCGATTCACGGCGGCGGCGACGGCGGCGGCGGGGAAGGAAAATGGAATGTGCGTGGAAAACACCCGAATGGGAACGGAACGACGCCGGCAACGCCGGCAACGCCAGCGTCGCCCTGGTTGTACGGGCCACCGTTAGTCAAAACAGAAATGACCGTTTCCGTATTGTGCTGCTGCGACTGCTTGTCCGCGCGCGCGCGCGTGTGTGTGTGTGTGTGTGTGTGTGTGTGTGTGTGTGTGTGTGTGTGTGTGTGTGTGTGTGTGTGTGTGTGTGTGTGTGTGTGTGTGTGTGTGTGAGTGAGTTCGCCGCCGTCGGACATCCGCCGGGGCGCCGCGACCCGCCTGGCCGCCGCTTTGACACAATTAAATTCGTGTCGGATGTGCCGCAGACGTCGCGACGCCCATGCCGCCAGGGCCGCCGACGCGGCCGCCGACGCCCCGGTGCATTGCGCGCATTGCGCAGGGCAGGGTCGCGTGCAGCATGGCAGCACACTGCGTTCGCTCTGTCTCTCTCGCACCTGCAGGGGACGCTCATGAGTGCGAGAGAGACAGACTCAAGGAATCAGTGCATGCAGGCGTCGACCCGCGTCGCGACAAAGAAAAACGTTGTACAACAACTTTTCATGGCTGTCTGGCGTTTGTGTGCCCTTGGGCTTGCCGAAGGGTTCGTCTCGTCCTTGCCCGCGACGCTGGCCTTGGGTCCGCGTGCACCCTGCAGCCCTTGCCGCGTCGGCAGGGCGGCACGCCGATTTGGGAGTCAAGCCGGCGGCGACTCAGTCAAGGTTCGCGGCCGATGAACCTAGAGCAGCGCAGTCAGGGGAGTCAGGGCCCGCGTGCCCCGGCAAGGGGAGGGGGAGGCCGTTGACCAACCCGGGGCCGTCCCCGCGCCTACACTACAAGGCCTGCCTGCCTGCTCTGCATAGCGCACAATGACTGCAGCAGCCGAAAATGGGATGTCCAATTGGGATGCGCGTGTCCTTGGAGCGCGCGGCGCGCGCCGTGCCGACCCTACAAAACCAGCGTGTTTATGGGGATTCGAACCCTCGTCCTCGTCCTGGCCCTGCAGGGTTGCCCATCGATAGCCGGCACTGCCAGGTCTTGAGTCACCCGCGCCTAAATATACATGAATGACAGTGGCGGCGATAAGCGCTGTCACCTGCACTGCCTGCACGCGCTTTGGCCGGCAAAGAGTCCGATTCGCGCGTCGCGGCCACGCTCTGCTTCTCAAGGTCATCGCCACGCGTAGCGCCGCGCGGCGCCGCCAGTGTAGTGGAGTGCCAGCAGGAAGAGTTTTTGGCCGCGGCGCCGGCGCCGCCATCTAGCGGTCAAAGTCAGGCAACAGCCTCGCGTCGCGTCGCGTTGCGTCCCGCGGCCTCGTGGAAGTTACAGCGTCCTTTGCCGGGGCGTTTGCACCCGACCTCCCCGGCCCCGTCCTCGTTCGCCACCTGCCGCAGGGCCTTGCGGCCGTGGGGCTGCGCCTGGCCGCGCCGCGTGGCATTTTGCGAGCCCTTTTGGCCCTTGGGGCCTCTGGGCGTTCGGGGGAAGGGCAGGTGCAGCGGGTGACGAGGGTTTCTCCCCGCCCTCCTAATCCTAGGCCGACCTGCGAGCCCTTCGAGTCTTCGAGCCCTGCGACGCGGTCCTGCCAAAAACTTCGCCTCTTTCTCTGTTTGACTTTCACTCTCTGTCTTGCTTCCTCTCGGCTCTTGGCTCGGTGGTGGCTCGGCGGCACCATCGGGGCGCGCGGCGTCCGTGTGCCAGCCAGCCCCTCCGCGTCGGTCGCCAGCTCGGGCTGGCCGCCAGCCCCCTCCCCCGCCGGTCCCCACCCAGCCGCGCCCCTCCCCCGCGGTGCCCCGCGCCCCCCGCGCCCCGGCCGCCCCGGCCGCCCTGGCTCGGCTCGCCGGCAAGGCTCGGTCCGACGCAAGCCTGCGCCGCGCTGCCGCCCGCCGATCCGAGCCGAGCGCGCAGCGCGCACTCTCTCCCTCACCACGGTGTCGGTCGGACGGTCCTCCGCGCTCGCGCTCCCCGCCACTTCGCTACTTCGCGTGCCGGCACGGCGTGTGACGTCCGCGTCGTGACAGTGATCAGTGATTCCTCCGCGTGTGTGTGCGTGTGTGCTGTGAAGTGCCTCTACAGTGTAGTGCTCTCAGTGCGATCGGTTTGTGTTTGTGACGCCCCGTGGAGTTTTGTACGACTTGTGACGCTGGCAGCAATGCGTTCTGACAGCAGTGCAGTGATGTTGTGAATCGAGTGGATTACCCGCGAGCATCCCACGGATTAACCAGTGTCTTCGCCATGGGTCTCTCCGACACCGACCGCATGTGCCCCTTCGAGGTGGTGCCCCACCCGGCGCCCGCGCCGGCCCCGGAGTCCACGTCGGGCGCCCCCTACATGGACACGGCCGTCACGTCGCCGCCCAGGGACCCGCAGAAGACCGCGCAGCACGCGCAGCGGGACCTGCAGAGGGACTCGGAGCTCAAAATAGGTGAAGTGGCTAGGAGTCGAACCCGCGCCCGCGCGCCGCCGTTCCTGGAAGCGAGGACAATGGGTGGGGCGCTCCGATGGCGCGGTCTCCGATGACGACACGTCGACGACGACCCGCGTGCGGCGGCGGCCGAGGTGGCCGAGGTGGCCGTCGTGAGGGCGGTAGGAAGTGGCGCCGGCCCATGGCCAAGGGCGCAGTGCTGCGGTCGCTGCGCCTCTCTCGCTCGGGGGTGCGAGAGAGAGGGAGGCACACTGTCAGGGCGCTCGCGACTTCGCGCCTTCCTCATTGCCGAGGCGTATAAATTTGCTGAAGGTCGCGTGGGGCACTCGCCCCGGCCTGGCCAGTCTGGCCGAGGGTGCGCCCCACCCCGCCCCGCCCCGCCCCGCCCCGCCCCGCCCCGCCCCGCCCCGCCCCGCCCCGCCCGCCCCGCGCGTCTACAAGACATCCTCGCGGCAACAGGTTGCAGGGTGGCGCCCACGCCAAACAGGTGGCCTCGGGTCGCCACGCGAAATTTGGTGACCGTCACAGGCCCAGCCTCCGCGTCCGCGGCCCGGTCACGGCCTGGTCACGGCCTGGTCACGCGCCGCGTCCGAGTCATCCGCAGTCGTGGTCGTTTTGCCGAAAATAAGGGGCACCGGTAGGCCCGCTGCTTCGTAATCGAAGAGGGCACCGAAAACAAGTCTCTTGACAAGGCGGGGCGTGGCTCTGTCTCTCTCGCACCCCTGCGGGCCCCGCGGGACGCCCCGCGAGTGCGAGAGAGACAGAGGCCCACTCGACCGCCGCTACTGTACCGCCAACAGGCCGAAAGCCCAAAGGCAGCCAAAAGAGGGCATTGACCAGCGAGCCGCGAGTCCTTGAGATTGGCGCGCAATGTCACCTCACTAACACACAGACACACTCAATCGGGCCGCCAATGGACCTTGGTTCCTGTTTTAAGGCCCGCTAATGAAATTGTTATCAACACGCGCTTAGCGGCCGAGAGCCCTACTTGCCCGATCACGTCACACTCCGTCACACCTACACACACAATCGCACTGGCGGACACACTGGCCTTATGGCGCACAGTGGGCCAGAAGACCGGTGGAGGCGGTCAAAATCCCGGACGCCTTTTGAGCTCCAGAGTCACTAAGTGGGACTTGATTTGAACGTGTGACCCCACCAATGGAGTGCTCTCCGAACGAGGGCTCACACGCTCGGCTCGAGCCCCATTTAGCGACTCTGGAGCTCAAAACGCGTCAAGAATTTTGGCCGCCTCTACCGGTCTTCTGGCAAATCCACAGTGCGCCTGCCCTTGAAAGTCGTGCCGACTTTGACTGCTATTCGCGGTACTGGCGGTGCACGTACGTACGAGCAGCTCGCGTTCTCGGATACCGAGCCATTCTGACGAACGGGTCGCCCTCCGTCTCGCTCGCACCCTCATGGGTTGCGCCATGAGTGCGACGGAGACGGCGCGGGCTGCGGGACTTGGCCTGCCAAAACGCGGGTCCTTCGCGGAGCCGCGCAGACGGCCAAGTTTGCGGCTGCCAGCCCCGCCAGCCCCGCCAGCCCCGTCAGAGCGGGGGTGCCATGGCCACGGCCAGGGGGTTGGTGGCAGCTCTGTCGGTCAACAGGGCGGCCGCTGTGGCAAAGCCTGTGGCAAAGCCTGAGGCAAAGCCTGAGGCAAAGCCAGAGGCTGCTCCCGAACCGAACCTCCGTCTCCCTCGCACTCACGGGGCGGCCCACTGGGAAGACAGCCCCCCTCCCGACTCGGCCTGCAAGCGAAGCCCATCACAAAGTTGGCAAAGCGATTCCCGTCCAATGGGAGGGACTGTGTCGGCCTCACCTCGCCCTGCTTGCCCGGCCTGCCCGCGGTTCGCTCGGCGACCGTCCGGGCCGCCGCGCCCCCCACGACGGCCACGTCCGCGCGCCCGGGGCAACGTCCTGGTGGCGCTCTTGGCCTTGACGCGGAGGCGCGCGCGTGCAGCCTAAGCCATGGCCCGGCCTGTGGTGGACGGGCACCGGCCACGGTGCCTCGACGAACCTGTGCAACCCTTTGGATTCGAAACTAATGATTTGCTCTTTCCGTTGCTTCCAGAGTTTGACGGCACCACCGTGCTGTGCAGGGTGTGCGGCGACAAGGCGTCCGGCTTCCACTACGGCGTGCACTCGTGTGAAGGATGCAAGGTGAGTCACGTGACCGTCGCGGCCTTCGAGGCGGCCTTGGGTCGCCGTCGGCCAATGAGCCCCATTCATTCCCTTTGTGCGCAATGTTCTTCGCGGGGTGTGAGAAGCGAGCCAGAGAGCCGGCGAGCCAGCGGGGTGCGCTGCCTGTAGCGAGAGCGTGGGGCGGGGGCCTTGCACTCGGTCTGGAGGTCGCCGCCCCCGCTGGGGCTGGGGGTGGGGGCGCAGTGTGGGAACGACGCCCAGAGCGGTCGCGCTCCAGGACGCGGGCTTGGATTCGACTGGAAATCGAAAATCGCGACGTCAAACTGCAAATGCCAAAACCCGAGTCGCCCAAAAGTCGCCGTCGTTTTCAAACAGTCGACTTGAACTTGGCACGCGATCTTCGACTAATCGCCTGGTGGCTTCGCGGTGTCCTGGGGCAACATACTGCATGTTTATTTCCTATCGACTTGTCAGTGCGTAGTTCGGCCCGTGGACCAGCGTCCGCGGTCGCGAAAATGGCCAGCAGCCTCGCCCTTGACGCCGGGCTTTGAACCCGCGCCCCGCTGCGCGTCGTCGCCGTCCTCGCCGGCCCCCTGCTTCAATTCGGCGGCCGTCTCACCCTGACTGATTCCGAGAGTCGTTTCCATCGCTTCATCTCTCCCGCACTCGCGTGGCGTCCCGTGCAGGCGCGAGAGAGACGCAGCGATGAAAACCACTCTCGGAATCGACGTGCGGCGTGAGCCGTGAGGTCATCGGGAGCAATGTCATAATGGCCAGGCGCGCACGTACGAGCGGGGCGGGGCGGGGCGGGGCGGGGCCGCCACCGCTGCCGCATTTCTCCGGCGGTGGCGGGGCGTGGCGGCGTGCGCCTCGGAGGCTGGGCCGGCCGGGCCTCGCCGAAGAAAGTGCCGGTGAAAGTGGTGTGAGGTTGGGGGCCGCGCCGCCGCGCCGCCGCGCCGCCGCCCCGCCCGGCTGTACCAGCGGTACCGTCGTCATCATGTTGATGTCACTACTATGGAACTGGAATCCAGCCACTGCCGTTGCGGGGCTAGCGGGGCGAGCGGAGCGGGTTGGAGTGGCTCGGGGCGTCCACTTGTTACAACCACCTCAACAACTTTGTTTTGGGCCGCCGTGGGCCGAGCCGGATGGGCTCAGCCGCACAAGCTCATTTGGACTGTCGCCAAGTTCACACACTCACACACACGCGCTCGCACACTCTGTCGCGTTATTTTCGTTGTGTCTTTGGCCGGCGTTTTCACTTAGCCGGAATAAGCAGGGTTCAAGGCCGAATCCCGCGGCCCGCCTCGCCAGTGTGGTGGCAGGCCGCGGCACGCCGTGGCACGCCGCCCAAATTGGAACCTTGGCGGGGCGCCGCTGACCGCGCTCACGGCGCTCTCGACGTGCTGAAGCACCGCGCGCGCGTGCAGGCCGGGTAGGCCGCCACGCAGCAGACCGCGCTCTGTCTCCCTCGCACTCGCGTGGCGCGCCGCAGGGGTGCGAGAGAGACAGAGACTGACTGCAGCCACGCCGTCGCAGTGGCGGCACGCGCCGCGCGAAGGAGGAAGGCTTGGTGCAGCGACCCCGCGTCCCGCGTCGGCGCGCGTGTGTGTGTGAACTGGTTGCTGGCCTGCGCGACGGCGGCCTCGAACGCGGCCATCGCCACGCGCGCGCTGCGGCGGGGCGGGGCGGGGCGGGGCGGGGCGGGGCGGGGCGCGAGCCGCAGCGGGGCCGGTAACCGAGTCCAGGGACGTCCACGCTCTGCACCGTCTGCTCCGCTTCCGCGATGCTCGGGGCATACATTACGGCGGCCAGGAGCGGCGCGGTGCCGCGTTCCCCACCTCGTGGGATCAGCGTTTCGCGTGGGTGCGAGAGAGACGGGGCGAATTGGCGCGTCGGCGTCGTTTGACATTCGCCTGTCTGTTGACGCCGACAAGGGCGCCCTGCTGGCCCTGCTGGCCCTGCTGGCGGTGCGGCCTCAGCGACGCCTCAGCGCGGGAGTGTCATTGCCAAGGGATTGACGCGGTCAGCAGCGCAGTGCCGTCGCCGTCCTCGTCCCCCGCGACCACGCCGACGTCACGCCGACGGCCAGGGCCGCCAGGGCGCGCGGTGCCGCCCCGCTGTCCCACGCCCCTCACGACTCGCGCGATGATAACGTGTCAACGTGTCTGCGCGCTGATCCCGAACAGTGCCATTGTCGCTGTCTCTCTTGCACCCGACGGCACGCCCACAAGTGCGAGAGAGAGCGCGCTGGCCGCCAAGGCGTTCGGGCCGCGGGCCTCGTGGGTATCGCGATAACCTGGCATCGATAACCTTGCCCAATCGCGCCATCGTGCAGGACGTATTTTCGGCCACTTGGTCGCCGCCGTCGCCTCTCGAGGTGCGTCGCCGGGGCCCTTGGGCCCTTGGGCATGGCCAGGCCTGGGCCAGGCCCTGCTGGGCCTGTAGGCCCTACGCACGCGGCCGCGAGGTTCGAGTCAGTCAGTCAGTAAGGCAGCGGCCAGGCAGGGCTGGCAGGCAGGCGTGCGGGCAGCGCGCTGCCGCCTGCCCCCTCCTGCGGCTCGGAGCGCAGCCGGCCAGCCCGGCTGGCAGCCAGCCGGTGTAACACAAGTTGAAGGTCGGTCAGCGGAGTCAACGGCCGCCGGAAGACGGGAGAGAGGGGGCAGCGGAGGGGGCAGAGGAGGGAGGGGAGTGAGCGGCGCGCTTGGTTAGGCCGGTTGCGCGAAGTGGGAGCAGTCGGGGCAAGTCGAAGGAGTATCAGGAGCAGCAGGAGTAGCAGGAGGAGGGGAGGACCGTGGAACAATCACGGAGCGTGTTTGTTGCTGCATTCGAACGCCTTGTCTTTTTTGGGAGCGCCGCGCCGTTGGCTGGCCTGGCCTTGTGTGGGAAGCGGGCGGAGCGGGGAAGGAAGAGTTGGGGAGCGTGGGTTGAATGGCTGCGCCGGCTTGGCCGCGCTCCGCCAGGGGTACCAACCCGACGCCGCCGCGCGCTGCGCCCCAACCGACGCCGCCGCCGGGGTGAGGGCGGGGAGGACGGGTTGAACGTCCTGGAGGAGATGAGATTGTGGTAATGGAAGCCCCACCCCAGCGCCGCGAGCGACGGGGCCCGGCCGACGAGGCCGACGACGAGGGGAGCGAGCCTACAAGTGCCCCGGGCCGCCCTGCCGCCCTGCCGCCCTGCCGCCAGTGTCGACGCCCCAGCCCAACCCCAGCCTGACGCGTGGCGTAGGGCAGTGTGCGAAGCGAAGCGCGAAGCACGCCAAGCCGTTTCGCCCCCGAGTCACCCCTCCGCGGAGTGGCGGGGGTATCGGCAAGCGAAGGGCGTTGCCTCGGACCGCCGCGGCGCTACCCCGCGCTGGGGGTTGCTCGGGGGTGGCGCCGGCCGGCCGTCGTGTGCCCCGCGTCGCGGCGCGTCGGCGATACCCCGCGCGGTGCGAGAGGGAAGGCGCAGTCACGCACGGCCCGGCCGGGCCACGCATCCTGTTCCTCGTGCGTTGGACGGCCGTGACACTCCGACAGTGCGCCCTGCCGCTGCACTCCGCCCCGCCCCGCCCCGCCCCGCCGTGGCCGACGACGTCGTCTTCTCTTTATTATTCCTCTGCTCCGCGCTGCGCCGCGCTCCGCCGTGCTCCGCCATGCTGCGCGCTGCGTTCTCCCTCCGCCTTCCGACCTTCGAGTTCTCGTCGGGTCGTTTACCCACGGGGGGCCGTGCGTAAAGCACGCGCGCGCGCGCTCACGCACACACGCCCGCTTTAGTGATTTCGACATAAACGTCGTCGCGAGCGCTTCGCTTCCTGCTCGAGCGAAACGGTGCAAGCTGTGGATTCTGCCGGGTTGGACGCGTTCCCATTCATACTACGCACTACTCCGGCCCCCGTCGTCGCTGAGATGAAACCGATGAAACGGCCGCTATTGTCGTGGCCTGCACCGATACCGATCCTGAGAGTCGTTTCGGTCGCTCTGTCTGTCCCGCATCCATGCGGCACGCCCCATGAGTGCGAGAGAGACAGAGTCTGCTGCGCGGTGCGGTCCGGCAGTGCCGGGCAGCGCGCAGGGCTGCTGGCCCTCATTTGCCTAGCCGCCCCCGCATTCCATTCCAGCGTTACCTGGTTGCATAACCGGCCGTACCCTGACCGTGCCCTCTCGCGGGGCAGGCCGACGGGCCGACGGCCAGGCGACCGCCACGTGGTTCGCCGCTCCGCCGCGCGAGGGCGCCACGCGCTGCCGGCGGCGCTGGTCCTGCAAGGCCCTTCCCTCGGCCGCCGCGAGGTGGCGCCACCGTCCCCAGAGCCAGGCGGCGCGGCGCGGCGGCCGGGCACTGGCTCCGGACTCCGGGGCGACGTCCTCTGCACCACTTCCTCTTCCTTTTCGCGTGCCGGAGTCTGGGGTCTGCATGCGGGATCTCCGGGCCGGACTTGCACTCCGGTTCCGGCGACTCCGCTCTGACAGGCACGTGTCTCTCCACTGTATTTCGTTCAAACTCAAACCCATTCAATTTTGTCCGAAATGGAACTTTGGTGACCGCTCCAGACAACCTCGCTCGCGCGTTCGTTGTGGGTGTGTATCTTTGTGCGTGGAAAGGAGGTGCGGCTGCAAGCGGTGGCTGTGTTGGGCGTTTTACGGTGCCTCGGCCAGCCTGAGTCCACTCCAACAGCGCCGCGTGGGTAGGCAGCCCAACGTACGCCGCGCGGCTCCCCACCCGTCGCCGGGACCCCCACCAGTGGGCCACCACGCGACGGCCGTGCGCCGTGACACGTAGGCCGCCGCCCGAGCGGCCCGCAGCCCGGCCCGATGGGTTGCCTACCGCCACGGCGCTCCGACTCCCCTGGCGGCCTGGGCCTGTGGGCCTGGCCCAGCCCGGCTCGGCCCCGCGGGCTCAGCTCGATGTGGGGCACGGCCATGGAGAGCCCCATCGGGGCATGGCCTGTATTTAGGTCGCGTCGCTCCGCCCCGCGCTCTCCACCCACCGGCCGGGCGGTCAGTGCTCCCTGCAGCCATGCTAGCTAGCCAGGCCCGCCAGGC